AAGGGGAGAGAGCCCGGTTGAATCCGTAGCTTGCTGGTCAGTCAATGAGGATAGTGCAGCAGATGAGTCTTTGGAGTTTCATCTCCAAAATGATTGCTTGGAAAGTACACGCTAAAACCCAATGTGAAGAAAGCGTTGTGTATTGAATCGGTTTTAGTGGGCTTTTTTCTTATTGACTATCGTTGTATCGTTGTTGTATCTGAAATGCGTATCGGACTCCGTGTTTAAGGCTCGCTTTTATCAACCAGAAAACTAGGACTGAAAGGTCTATCGTAATTATGGAAGACTGAAATTAGAATATATGGTCCGACTTTGAGAGGGACTAAAGTGGGTCTAGAGTAATCTAGGCAGAGATACTATAATTATGGCCACTATGCTGATTAGTGAATAATACTCTGCGGGCAGCTTGCAATAATTCTTTTCCTTAGATTCGCGCTTACTCAAGGGTGGACGAAGCTGACAGTCCGCTGCAGCTTAGATAAGAAAATGGATAAAGGTAGTTAGTTAGGCTGGGTATATCAGTGACTATGTTATTTGCTTTGTTTTGGGGCCCCATCGAGCGCCTGGTCCATCGCTTAATATAGAGGTTAGGGAGCTAGGCTGAACTGTAAATTTATTAGCTACGGACAGCCCGCCAAGCCTGTGGTCGCCAGGAGTTTTCTTTTAATGTGGCGATGAACCAATTCTTCTGGACCATTGGAATATTAATAGCAAGCTCACGGGACTTTCCGATCTAAAATGTCTGTGGAATAGGATTGAAAAAGTACCTACTAATCATCGATCATCGACCTCGCATTTTTATGCCTAAGGTCCATCCCAGGCCGAGCTGGCTTTACATCAACGTGAACTAGGCTTATGCATCTACTTGGGCAGAACTGAAGTGTTTACTCTGCAATAATTCGTTTTCAGGTGTCTTGAGACAACGCGATCGAGTATAACGTGGCTAGGACCACCACAATTTCTAAACCGGGAATCATACTCCTCAACCAATAGAAACAGAACACGTATTGGTCAGCGGAACTCAGTCACTTTATAACCGGTAGGATGCTCTTTGGTTTCGTCGGGTAGTGATATAATGGGGCGCAAAAAGAATAATAAGCGCTATAGTTCAAGCTCGCCGCCACCTTGGAGAGAAGCTTCACAGTCTGATTATCTAGAAAATTATTCTTCACCTCCCGCACGCAGAACCTCACCCTCACCTCAATTAGCTGACGAAAAGATGCCAGGGACAGAGATAGCATACATCGAGTATGTCTCTCTTCATAATGAATATAGGTGATGCTTACATTCGTCAGCCTTTTGGACTCGGATTTCGTGTCCCTTCGAGTTCGTCAGACGGGACGATCATTCAGAATCCATCGGAAACTGCTTCAATCAAAGTCTAGGCCACTAATTGCAGCTTTGGATAGTACGCTCAAAGAAGGACAGGACTCCCTGTACGAATTTGAAGATGTAAAAGAGGGAACAGTGGGTCGGTTTATTGAATGGGCATATCGAGGGGATTATCCTACTTCGATCACCCTTTTGGAGCCTCTTCCGACCCCATTTATCCCGGACAAGGTCGACACAGACATCGAGGATAAGCCTGGAACAAAAAGTCTAGAAACGGACTTTACCTCGGAGAATCATCCTCTCCTCGTCCACGTTCGGCTTTACATATTCTCACATATTTATATTATTCCTGAACTTCAAAAATTAGCCTACGAAAAGGCGACCGCCTGTTTCGCGGACCTGGACAAACCGGATGGACTCGACAAGCAACTTGCAGTGATTGATGCTTTACGACTTTCTTTTTCCAGGCTCTCTCATAATGATACTTTGTTGGACTGGCTGGCTCAGTATGCCGCTTACAGTGTGGACAAATTGCGGCTACAGGGTTCTTTTCATGATCTTCTGAAAGATTTTCCCGCTTTGAGCTCCCGTATGATGATTTCGCTGAGTCCAGCACAGTCTCCGCCATGGCGGAGTACACAGCAAAAGCACCAGTTCACGCAATATTCTGCTAGATGGACGGGTGATAATTATGATCTTTGAGAAAATCGGTCAGCCAACGCAGCCAAGCGGATTCTTTTCGGACGGGTACACACCGCTTATCTAAGCTTACCGTGTTTTTGCTGTGCTCGTTGAAATGTTTTTCCTCCCCGTTTACCATCAACAGCTTGCTTTTGCGCGCTCGATGTTCCATGGTGCCTGCGTATAATAAAGATCTAATTTCGTATGTCGCGTTGAGAAATGCTGGCCAGCTTCCGTGCAAAAATCGGTGTCATGCGCTTAAAAGGTTTGATATATCTTAACGTCGGACGTTTCTTAGTCAGTGATAAGATCGTTTTCATGCTTCTGTTGGTCTAAATTAAGAACATGTACTTTTTTGCGAGTTGATGCCAGCGGAAATTATGTTAGATACTCCATTTCGCCCCTTATTGATTGCAGATCTTATTCGAAAGCCATTATCACTCGAGATATATCCTGACAGGCTCGACAACATTTGCTTATTCTGATACATTTATGGGCGAGCTGCTTTCCACCAATTAAAATGCATCCGGCCATTCCGACCCGTCAGGAGAAATTCCCCGTCGACTGACAAGGAACTGCGGGGTATCCGCCTGTCTGAGCGACACGTTGCATAGCCTCACTTTCAAAAAGCCAGCCTAGGGCAGCTTCAATCATATCACTGTCGTTTGACGTCTGATATTGTGATCTGAAAGATACCCCAGAGGACTTAAAGCGAGGGCGACCAGACAATCTCGATACCGGTGGTGTGGTAGCCACATGGAGTATGCCACAACTCCCTGTTCACTATCGCCTTAAATCAAGGCAAGCGAACTCGATGGAGAGTGAAATGAGATTGAGAGATATGATGGCTCTTTGCAAGTAGTCTTGATCTGCTCTTTATAATAAATAATCTGGATTGATCTTGCTTGTTTTTTTTCTTGGGGTAGTCTGCTCAAGGTAAACAGAATAGCAACGTCTGTCGTGAATCTTACATACCTTTACATATTCTTTGAGTTTCAATGTCAGCCATGACTTGCGAAAACCCAAGTATGGCAGCCGCGGCATCTTCAAGTCTAGTTCCCGAAGCCCAGACTATCTTGAGCTTCTTCGATCAACTTAAAGCATTATCTCCGTCAGTCGGGTATGAAATGATTATGAATATTTGCGAAGACAACAGGAAACTTCAAGGTCGACTGGATGACATGAGCAACAAGGTTAAGAAAAGAGAGGCGACCATCGACGGGATGTTGGAAGTCAATGAAAAAGCGAAAAGCCAGCACCGAGAGACAATAGTCCAAGTCCAGAAACTCGAAAAGGTTATTCAAGAGAAAGAAAGCCTGGTTGAAAAGCAGATCCGAGGCCTTTGTGATCGAGATACCCAAATAAAAAAGCTGACAGCTGAAATCAAGAAACAGGCGGACCATCTGGCGCGAACGAAGCAGGAATGTGGCACATTGCAAGGCACAATCGAGGCCAAAGATACAATCATCACCGGTCTCAAAACAGACAAGGTTAATTTGACCGATCGCTTGACAAGGCTAGAGAAACTCAATTCGGACATCGAGGAAGCGAACCAGACCCTAAAATCTACCCTTGGTGAAATCCAAACTAAACTATGCCGGGTTGAGGGGTTCACTGTTGGTCATATTGATAGTGAAGAGAATATCCTGTATGTTCCTCCGTATGAGCTTACTCATCTGCTAATTCTTGTGCAGGATAGACAGTTTCACAGGACTCTGGGAACTCGCGAAAACGAAGTTGAATTCTGCATTTGCCGTTGACTTGCCGCCGGAGAGTTTTCAAGTATGTATATCGTGGCATTTCTGGACAGAAACTAACTATTCTTTAGAACGTTTCTGCATGGACCAAACTGAAGGAGTCTCACCTTGCTCAAACTCACCGAATTCCTTTGCCATGTTCCAATTCTCAAGCAGCGAAACAGGTCCGATCGGCATTGGTTCTCGCCATTCTCGCTAGAGAGATTGACCAGCATGTGTTCCAGCCCGTGTATACCCTGCCTACGGACCCGCACATACGGCAAACTCTCATATATCTCGCTAGGACCGACTTTGAGAAAGAATCGTTCTGTCGCTCTCTATTGCAATCTATCAATCCAGATATGCAGGATAAGTCGCTCCAGACCATTATAAAAAATGTTGTTAGCAATGTACTGTGTTACATTGATGACATACTCCCTGACACGCAACGCGCTTCACTTTACTCGGAGATAGAAGTAATAGTACGGAAGGCTGCCGAAGTCTGGCAGCTAATCAGACGTTCCAAGCGAATGTATGAGCCTGACTTTGATCCACTTGAGTCCGATGAGGACTGGATCGCTTTCGACGCCCCCGATAAAGAACGATCAGCATCAGGTAGCAAGCACAATCCTCGAGAGCCCGATACTCTGACAGTGTTCCCTCGTCTCTCTTCCATCGAGAATAACAATGTGATCGATTACTCGGTTGTGATCCAGCTGGCCAGCTCTTCACATTTCCTATCGAAGGCGCGGAGCGAGATTAAGCGAGAACCATCCAGTTCTAGTGTCGTTCGGAAGATGGCCCAGACTTGGCGAAACCGTTCTGTCACCTCCAAGGATACAAATGTCCGCCAGTCTTTGGAGTTTGCGAACGGCCATAACAAGGTCAATGGCAAATGATGGCTCATGTGACTACCGTCTAGGATCCTGCACAATATGACATTCCAAGTTACTGCATTGATTTCGAATAAATCTTGTGTCTTATCTCATCACTTCTTGAAGGCGAAACTTGTAGACTTCTTAGCATCAGAGTACCCAGGTGGGTACTCGGCATGCTCTAGTTGACATTCTGACTGCAATTTACGCATTAGCGACCCACCTAGCGGTGAGGAACCCAGATAGCCTTTCGTCTCCCAGACTAGGCCATTTGTAGCCATGGCCAAATTTAGAGCAGCCTCGCTGGAACATACCGACCATGCTAATGTCTCGGCTTCATTATGATACTGTACTGTGCTAGCTGGCAAAACTCGAACTACTCTCTTTGGCTCCTCCATTTCTCTCTATTATGATGAGTATGGGCTGCAAAAATTAATGGACGGCCTGGGTTTGGATGCACTCACTGGTTTCGTGACGGTACTCACTACTGTACCAACTTTCTAGAAAGCCCAGGTGCAGATGAGACGGTGCACATGCTTGTCTATCTCTTAGCTGGGCCTTACTTTTCGGTCGGCCCTCACGTGGCTATGTCCCTCACAAGACGAACTTTACAGGAGAATTTCCCTAAAAAGACGCTCCCATTAAATGTTTTCCAAGGGTAAACGTGTGCTGTGAATCCGTACCTATGACAGTACCAATAGAAAGTCCTCCTTGGAACGCACGACCTGAAATTCTTTGCATATGCCTTGGGACCTTACATGAAAAATTGCTTATTATTCAATCCGCCGCAAGACGCTTTTTTTAACACAACCCAGGCCATGAGTTTTCAGGTGCCATAGGTAAGACTACATAATCTTCAACCAGTCTTACAGGCTTCTGCTTTCTCTCGCAAGTGCCACACGTTCGTCGACAAATAACTCAATGTCCGCTCGAGTGAGCACCACACGGATACTGCGCGCAATGAAAGTTTATCCAAACTACAGCCTGAACCTGAATTCTCCTTCAGGAATACATTATGTATGACTTTGGGTTGTTAGCTGCTGCTTGTCCGTCCCGTTACTGTATTCTAAAATGCCCTTTTCTGTAGTGGTGTTGGGAATGCTCGATCGTCGCGCTCTCAGACCAGAATCACGGTGGGAAAGTGAGAATTATGTCCAAGGTTTTCGCATGGTCGGAGCCTTCGCTGTAGTGGAGGTTCCAGAGGGTCTTGACTCATGCATGCTGCTAAGTAACACACATGCGTTTGGTTCTTAGCTCATCCCTGCCTCCATGCATACTATCCAAGCGTCGCTTTTTACTTGAGGTCGGCTTTGGTTGTAGCAGTTGATGGTTCAAGTGACACCGGTGGAAATCAATAATCAATACTCGTTTTAGATTTTCATTCCACAAAATATTCTCAGGGCGAAGGTCGTCATGCACAACACCCAATGATAGAATACTTCTTTCCGACCGTGAGATGTGCCGCTGCATTTTGATATCGATATCCTCGTGACGGAGACTTTTGCCCCCCCAGCTCATTAGTAGCATGTGGCGAATCTCACCTGCACCGTGGAGGAAGTAAATCTTGGCCAAATCAACAAGCCCCAGAAACACCGGCACTGCAGAGCCTTGGATACTCTGCAAAATATGATATACCTCTGCTTCCTGCGATACCTCATGCCATAGCCGTGAAGTTGTGCCCTTCCCCACCACTGTGTAGCCGTATGCGGCACATGTGACTTTGAATGGTGCGCCGTATGATCCACATTGGCCGAATGGAGTACAGTATTCGTCCAGATTCTCGTCCAACTGTTGCTTGACCAAGGAGACTAGTTCGGGGGCTCCGATGGGGTGACGGTCGGTCTTCAGGGCAGCTCGATGAAGCTTCACATTTGGGCAATGTGGGTCCAAGACATCGCCGCGCTGCAAACCCAAAAGACATCTTTGCGTGCAGAAATCATGAGAGTGTGAGCGAGATTGACCGACATGGCGCTGAGGGGGATTCTTAGGGGTGGTCGGCGCGGGGCGCAGTGCGGGCGGCGAGGACGCGATCTGACTAAAACCGCGCTTTCGTTGCGCAGCAGGTGTTGAATCATCATCAGGCTCCGAAGAATCCTCTCGATGGCTGTCACCGGCAGGGGCACAGCGAGTGGAACGTGTGGACGGGCGGCGACCGAGCGAGGCAGGCGATTCGAAAGGGGATGATGGCTGGTATTCGGATGACGTCATCTCCGAGCTAGTACACTCCGGGCTGGTGTATTCGGATCCTGGAGGCTTCTGCCGCAACTCGCCCGGTGGAATCTGTGATCGTGCATGGCTGAAGCTGGTCTCCCAGATTGGTAGCTGCGCCCGCGCAGCATTCCGCCAGGTTTGGTCCCGACAGGTCGAACGGAAGCTCATTAGGCAGAGACAAAGCACCCTCTCGATGGCTGTCCGAGGACCCTCAATGCCACTCTCGACGTCAAGATTCGGCTCGCACAAATAGTAGTACAAAATCGAGCAGTCGTCGGACACGCGTAGGAGCACAACCCCAAGCCCAGTAGTCAAGTATGAGTACTCCAGACCTTCCTGAATCATTACATGGTATTCCTGAACGATCGCAGAGCCGGCAAGACGAGCGGCGTTATACCTTAGTTTTTCCGGCCCGTCGGTAGGAATTGTTTCTGATTCGACGATCTCGTGGTAAAAGTTCATCGGTCGGAGTCCCGCCCTAAGATTCTCGTTGGACAATTTATGCGGCGGTTTGTACTCGACCGTAGTCAACAAGGCCCTGATATCTCCATCAACACGGTGGATACAGAATTGGTCGGGGCGCGCAGGTCGTTCCTCCGAATTTGCTTCGTTTGGTGGGCTTTCATCAAGAGCGTTAGCGTGGTTGTCGAACCACACTCCATCCCCTAGGCCAAATTCCTCTCGAGCACTCGGTATCTTGCACAGCGCTGAGATGATATCATGGACGTGATCTTCAACTGCAAAACGTTCGTAGCTCTCAAGGTCCTTCTCGCTGCTCAAGGGCCGACGTGCGAAACGGTGTCCCAGCCCCTCCAGCTCAATGACCGGTGCAAACAGACGTGGTGCATCTTTACCCAATGGCTTTAAATAATAACAGACCAGGTCGTAGATTTCTTGTTGCTTAACAGCACACTCCGTCCAAGGTTGCAGTTGTAGAGGGCAGTACTTGCCGGTAGGGGCCGGAATCTTGCCAGTAGTAGACTGCGCGGGATTTCCGGCTTTCAGAGGCTTCGAAAGAAGATTATGACAGTGTTGAATGAATTCTTCAAAGGTAGTCTGACGAGTTCGTGCTTCTGCCTGCTCTCTCAGTATCTTCTCCTGCCTCCGTTCCTCCTCAGCTTTGAAGAACAGGGCCTTGTAGTCGACCGGGTCCGACATGGCTGTAATGAGTAGATGTTGAGAAGGGTGTCATTATTGGCAAGCGACAGCTGACTGAAGAACGACAAAATATCAGACTACCCCTGGAAGGGGTAGACCCCCGCGGGACGACAAAGCGGATCAAAATTGATCCGATGATTTAAATTCTCCACGCGGCCAGGTTCGTGCTACGAAGAAAGCTCTTTGGGCAGCGCCTTCGTGGCAAGATTATTCAAGGCTTTCTAGTACAAGCTTTGAAAGTTGCGAGGAATGCAGTCTCCCACAGTGAGATCGTTCCGCGCGAAACCCGGCACTGCCGGTGGATGGCACTGCAACCTAGAGAACCGGTACACGCATTCAGTAAGACGTAAAATGCTGTATTAGGGGATCCACTTTGGATGTCCACTGCTCCTACTCTAGATATTTTCCTGAAGCGTCGTCAACCCGCCGCCACGTTGGTCTAGTAACGATATTGGCCTTGAATTGTCTGTTATGGTATTTTGAGGACCCGCGGCCCCAGCTGACAATAGCTCGAGCCCGAAGACACAGTCTTACCTAATCTCAGGAAGAAGGCGGTGTTGATAGACACAAACAGAACATTCTAGAGGTCTGATAGGCAAGAATCTATTGGTACTTGTACTGCTCCGCTTAATATTATGGACAGCCCCGTGTCAATGAACGGCCCGTTGGGCATGAGACGGTGTGGGCTAACCGCTTACAGCATATTGCTAGGTGTAACTTATTGGGAGCCTTCCACTTCTTGTAAAGGATGACCAAAAGCCTTTTCAGCTATGATGACGAAACCTGTCAATCCCGGCTGATCGACCCATGGGACGAAGATACGCAGTATGCGCCAGCACCGGCTGACTTCGGCCGTACACCCGCTATATCGTACTCGAAGGCTGGAGATACGTGTACAAACTTATGCGATGCTCAGAAGAGTATATAATGTCTCTTTCTATTTAGTAGATTGCTAAATATACTGGATGCCTTCATGCAGCGACCTTTGGCCAGTGGTGTTGGCAGGATCTCAAGGGTAGGAAACACCAAAGATCACGAAAACCCCACCTTGTGAAGCTCACTGCCCACGTGGACAATGGTGGCAAGTTGGACAGCCACGACGATGTCCCAGAGGATATTCGCTAAGCTCTATACCTCGAGGCCCAGCAAAAGCTCGAGAGAGCCTCAAATAAATCGAATAATCAGCTTGTCAATGCTCCCAATCCAATCAACATCAATCTCTTGCCCGCGCCCTGCACCCCCGAATAGGAAAGTTAAAATCACCGGGCCGAGAGATGTCGCCGTTGAAGGAATACTGCGAATGGCATGAACTGCAGGTGACTGATGGAGCGCGCAAGCCGGACTGGTGAAAATCACGTGACATAACTCTGTCAAACGGCCTTTACCTCGAGTTAGTTGAAGAGAATCAAGAGCATGTGCAGTTTATCATTGAATAAGGGGTAACAAAGGGGGCTGCGTGGCGATTTGTTCGCGACATGTATGAGTGGGCTAACCATGTGAGAAAAGAGCCGTCGCCAGAGGAAAGCATATAGGAGGACATTGCCGCTTGGGTACTGGTACTGTAGAATACACTGTTCTCTTCAGTGATGGAACTGTTATCTGCATTGCATATGTATTGAACTTTTTCTGGTTTACTTAGTCTGTTATCTTATAGTTTCAAGACCTTGAATAGCTTAACATACCACATTGATTACGACTGCAGTACGTCCACTGTACCCAAGCAATACTCCTGCGGGTTCTAGGATGAACTTCTCTATCGCGACTCAAAATTATCCCACAAAAGCGTCAAGTGGAACAGACTTCTCAAATTATTTCGCTATGCAATCTACATAAATTATACCTCGAAGATTGTGCAATGTGAAGGCACCCACATATCACCAACTGTCTTCCAGATTCTTCTCAAAAATAGTGTTCCAATTCTCCTGAAGCGCCTCACGCTCACTACTGTCAGAACCATCAAGATAGTCCCACTTCTCCGCTGCTTCTACTCTCTTCATGGCCAGCCGGCTGTCCCTGTCTACCCAATATTAGCCGACTCTCTGATACTCGCATAATCCCATAAAATACCTTTTTTGACTTGTTCTGGATCAATTTTCTCAACGATAGCGGCTGACGGGATGTTATGAAGGCATAGATAAGTGCCACTGATGTGCTGATCCGCCTTATCTGGTAGTCTCAATTCAAGATCTTTAACTAGGTCCTGCAGCCTGAAGAAGCAGGCATCTTCTAAGCGATTTGTATCGACAACGTAAAGGGCCCAATTACTGCGCGAGAGGTACGGCGCCTTGCCCCGCCAGGGTTGTTTTAGCCCCCAATTCTCTGCATGCTCGCGATCGGAGAAGAGGCTGATAAATGGAACAGGATCCCTACACTCCCAGGTGAATTGTTTCACGATATCTGTCTCAAATTCCGAGTTTGCTTGGTCCGCATAGGTCTTCCTTCGATTTGCAGCAATAAAGCCCTCGCTCTCAGAGTAACCTGTTCGGCTACCGGGATAATTAATTCGATACAAGCGTGAGGGCACGCTTTCGTTCGATAAACGATACTCCATATTTCAAAGTGATGTGGAAACTAAATCACACGAACTTTTCTTGAACGCGTTTGAGACTAGGAAAAAGCATGGAAAGTGGTCTACGTCACCTCATATCGCCACATTGTCAAACCTAGAGGCTGCTTAGCATGCCACAAAAGTCATAGTGCTGCGGCGGATTTCCCGCAGCACCTAGACCTGTTTACTTGCAGATTTTATATTTTATGTAGCTATAGTATTAACTATATCGAATTCACGATAGGATATATTGTGGGCACCATAAAGTTTTGCCAATCAGCGACTGAGAAAAGGCGGCCCCTTGATAGCATGTCCAGCAGAACCCTGTACCTGGTATCACTGGTGCCTGCAAGTTGTAATCTGCCAGCCATGCTTCGAACACGATCCATGATATCGTACTCTGAAACATTAAGGTTATCACCACTGGCGAAGAACCCTGCGGGTAACGCAACTAGAACCGAGTCCCGATGGATGAACGACAACGAATAACGATATCCAAATAAAGGGATATTAATCAGAATGTCTCTGCCTTCACCGAGGAATGACGAAACGATAGCAGTGGAATGTATGGGACCGCGTATCAGATATTCCTCTTCGTAATAAGATCTTTGATCGAGAGAGTAATGTTTCACGAGACCCGTGACTTTATACACTTCTGTCTCCGGGGAAAGAAGAGGACTAAAGATGACATGAACTCGAAGATTTCGAACGCCTTGTTTCTTCCACGTATCTATCCGGGATGACAGAAGAGACCAAGTCGCCACGGATGAGAATTGTGTTTCATAACGAGCGTTTTTGTCCAAATGAGAACAAACTTCGAACCGGGTGATGTCCCGCCGAGAACGATATCGAGGCCAAATTGTCATTTCTGTGGAAATATCGGGCGTTGGTGGAACCGAGCCATTAGAAGTTCCAGAGTGTGTCACCCGGATCAAACAGAGGGGTAAGTGTTGCCTGTCTTGACCCGTGTGAGGAGAGTCACAGTCATGGCTGCATAACCTCATAGTAGAGTCTAATGGTGCTACCATCTCTATGTCTGCGGATGGTGCTAGCCTCCTTAATGAAACAGAGATGAAAGTGTAGGGTAAGTGGGCAGGTTGTTTGGGTGGCTGTGTTTCACACAGTGGAATGAAATTGTTAAGGGTAAAAAGGTTAGTTAGGTGTAGAATAGTAACAGTGCATTGATTTCAAGACTTATCCTCGCTATCCTAGAAGGTTCTAGGGATTTAGTACTAGAGACGCTAAAGTCATTGACGTCACGACCCTTTCATGAAAGGATTCGTAGGTAAGCCATAAGCAGTCCGACATAGTTACGTCCTGCTTACTCCGTACTTAGCTTGGCTAGCTTAGAGCACCACATGATCATACCCAGACAATGCTCCTGTGGGACTCTAGGATAAATGTTGTTCCGATAACCAGCTGACTAATGGCGAGAGCTTTCCCTCCAAACACAACCCCATCTCATCCTTATCGCAAAACAGAGTTAAAAGCGTCCTTGACTCGACTTTCAATGGCCACTGCACATCACCGCCACCAGCTGTCCCTGACAGGTTTTATTCATCCGCCTCGGAAACCACTCTTGACACCGGAAGATACTCAAATAGCGCGAATCTTGTTCAAGACGTTGATAGACTATGCACCTGAGCGTTCATCAAGAGGGCGGTACAAACCGGCGGTTCTCATAGAAGAGACATTTGGACGCATTCAATGCAAGGATGCCTTCCTCGAGTACTTCTTTACTTACATATACACGAATGTAACATCGGAAGAAGAGCGCAGAACAGGCTCGGATTTCTGTCAAGTTTTCACCTACTTTCGCGATTTCTCGTCGTGGAGTTCGAAGGATAAAGACACAGCTATGGATACCATCGACAACTTTGCAGAATATTTGATAGATAACTTTTTCATGCCACGTGAGTTGATGTCCGCCTACGAGCTCGATTTATCCTGGGAGGGGCTAACTTTATGACATGATGTAGTTAGGGCGTCATCGGTGAAAACACCACAGCCTACACCCGTAGCGTTATCCGCGAATCAAAATGCACCAACGGGCACCAAAAGTCGTGTGTCTAGGTTACGACAAGAGTGCCTCAAACGTGATCACTATCGCTGTGTTGTCTCCCGCAAGTTTGATAGAGCTGAAGCGAAGAAGCGGCTTGAGCAGAACGAGGATAGCAAAGATGATGATGGAGAGTTTTTAAGAAATCAAAAGAGTGACCAATTCGAATATCTCGAAGTGGCGCATATAATTCCCCATTCACTTGTGACGGTCTCTTCTGAGGAGTCAGAATTGGTATGTGGCCCCATAGTGTGACCAGGTTCTTGGTTTCTTTCTAATTATAAGCATAGAGTGAGTCAAAAAAGGCTGCTTTGTACATTCTGAATATGTTTGATCCGGACATAGGCCCTCTTATCTCAGGGCCAGAGATCGATAGTCCCTACAATGCTTTGACGCTAACCCACAATTACCATCGGCTGTTTGGAGAGTTTGAAATATATTTCGAACAGAAGGATCCTACCATCGAGCGCACATATTTGATCGACTCTACCGAACAAAGGCCATTTTTGCGCGATCCTCTATTTCCAGTTATTCGAAAACTTCATCTAAGCCCCGAACTAACTATTGATCCACCCGCTAGTAAGCTTCTAAAGGTTCACTGTGCTATCGCACATATTCTGAAACTCAGCGGTGCGGGAGAGTATATAGACAGGACGCTTCGGGAGATGACTGAAATTTGCGTCAGCGCAGATGGCTCCACAGATCTAGGACGCCTTGTAAGATCGCGGCTGGGTAACTGGTCAAATGTATTAGCTGTTTACTAGCTTAATTTCTCTGAGTTGCGTGACGTAGCAAATGCTTATGCAAGCTTTATTTTAAAAATAGCTATCTCGCGAAAGTCTTTTGTCTCTTGTATCAAGGAATCCCACAAAAAAAGATAACAGTCCTTCCTAGTTGTCGTCTTCATATTCCTCAATGGTTATACCAGAATGTCGAAAGTGACCTTAGCGCTGCGTCTTTTCGTATCAACAGTATTGACTCATGCTTGCAGGATAGCATCGAAGCCCTGATCAGGCGAAGTTTCGTAGTATTCCCAACTTCGCTTAATATAAGCCTCAGATGGGAAAGAATTCCTCAATAAGTATGACGGGACGAACAGTAATTTTATCCCGGCTTCAGAGCACATCTGCTTGACTCTCTCAGAGTGGTGGAAAAATGCATTATCCAATATTAGCTCAATTTTTGCAGAAAGAGACAGGCATCTTATGTACGAAGCCGGTGTACATCTTCTGCATGTCTTTGTAAGTGCATCATATGCTGAAATTCTATATCATCACAGAAGTTGCATTTGCGGTCCTGCAAATGAGACATCTTGAAGTGTCTCCTCAGGCCGTAGTGGTCGGAGTATTTTTTGCGGCACTGGAAACACACCCGAGGCTTCAAATCTTCCTTTATTTGTTCATCCAGGGCGGCGGATTGCTCTTCCCAGGCTGATATACTCGGACGAACCCCGGACTTCTGTTTGCGAGCCGGTGGTCGAGCAATGCACTCCTCATCCTCAGCCGGTGCAGGGCGCTTTGGCCTTCCCCGAAGTGGGCCACCCTCAGGAAACCCACAATACTGGATTGCAGCTGCAACGGCTTGATTACGCCTCATCCACTCGTCCTCTAGTGAATCCGAAGTAGGCCACGTGAAGAAGGTCTCAATGAGTAGGATTTGTTCCGGGGGCATAGCGAACTCCTGCCGTAAGATCTCGCGCGCGGGTTCGTCATTCACTGCACCACCACTAAGCTGCCTTTTAATATCGATCACTGCCTGTTTCTGGCTGAAATCTCGGCGTAGTTGCTTTCGTTGTTTTTCCTGCAGACTCCGGCGCAGATTCTTGACTTTCCGCTTCTGGTCCTCCAGCAGTGCGTCCAACGCCGAATCGTCAGAGCGATTGCGCTGAGTTTCCAAATCAGCCTGCCATCGGACAGCTGCCTGGAGCACCGGATCCTTCTCTACCAATGCCCGATCTGACTCGCTAAGGTATCGAGGGCGGCGCTTGTCGATCCAGCGACTCATCCGTGTCACCGCTCGGGTAAACTCCACGTCAGGATTTAGGCCACACATGATTTCTTGCAATCCAGCATGTCTGCGCGGACGGTAGTGTTTGACAAAGGTTTTACTACTCGCGTGCAACATGATCACATTGCGTTGAGCCTCACTGACGAATCCTAGGCTAAATATTTAGTTCTTGAACCCGCACAAGGATGGGCAAAAGAAAACCACGTACCGCTTTCGTCAAGTAGCTGCCCGCCTCCATACCGAAACTGATGGGAGAAGAACGGATTGAGAAACCCATGGATCTCACTCAGACTCCGAAGCTGGCCGTGCAGCGTGTTGCCGTTCAGCGGAGTCTCCCAGAGAATGTTAGGCTGACCGTTGACCAAGTCAACTCTTGGGAAGACATAGTAGTTGTCCATTTCGGGCTTCAGAGGAAGTGGCATTTCCTGTCGGTCATCCTCAACCAGAAGCCTCCGAAGGTCATCCATTGACTTCAATTCTGGCGCCGCAAAAGCACGGGCATAAAACAAGATGCTGAAAAGCAAAACGTGTGGACTGAAAACAAGCGATACACCGTATACAATTTCAGGTAAAGCAAATGTGTTACTATGGAAGGTTAGCTTTCTTCAAGACAAAAGATACTGGATATGAGCATGGGAGAGATATTCGAAACAAAGAGCTCCATACAGTTTTGCCATCCCAAGGTTCTTTACAATTTCAGGTTTGAGTTCGATCATTGGCACAGGAGGACCTCCGTGTGGATCTCGCTGAAGAGTGATCTGGAGGTGCTTGAACTGCAGGCTTAGGACTGCATGTTTCCGGTTGACGGTAAACAGTCCTATGACATTGTAAAGGCATAGACTTATCCTCTGGAACCCTAGGTGAAATCGCTTTTCGCGGGTCTGGAGAATGGTTTCGTTCAAGGGAACCATATCTTCAATATAGACTGGAACATTCTCCCGTGGCTGTTTATCAAGTCCGTGTTTATCGATCAAGTGTTTCAGACCCTGCTCGGCAACGTCAAATGTCAGATCAAACCTCATGACTGCCACCATTGGACCTAAGAGCAGCTTACCGTGCGAACAGCCTCACCCATCTCCTCGCTCATCTCATGTTTGGTGACTCGTGTGTAGTAGACCCGGAAGTACTTCCAGTCCGCTTGAATAGCGCTCGCCTTTTTGTAACCCTTGAGACGGCGACCGTTGGAATTGTACTTCAACTTGAGACAAAAATTGAGAAACAGATGCATATCATTCGGTGTTGCCTGCTGTAAGGCTTCTTCTGCATCCTCCCACTTCGGATCGGCCGACGGTTTGATTGCATTCACCCGACAGTATCTGCCCACGACAGTAAGTCAGATGAGAACCACCAGTAACAAACAAGACCCCTAAGGACGGGTCTAAACCAAAAGTCACTCACCGCGCCCAACGGTTCTTCAGCCGAAGTTTCTGAACCTTGGTATTAGAAGACTTTCCATAATCCTCCGGTACATTAGCAAGATCCTCATCGGTATCGTCAGCCGGGTCTTCGTAGCGAGCACGGTGCAGCTGTTCCACAGTCAACACGCACACATCCTTGGCGGATGGCGGAGGACAATTTGCAGGACCTGCTTCGACACTGGCATTGATGCTAGTCTTTCCACGTGTGGCTTTTCGATACCTTGACGAAGGACGTTCTAGATCCGCAAGTTCGGTGTCCGTTTCGGAAACGTAAGGTGAATTGTCTTCGGTGACAGCAGATGTGCTCGACGTTTCACTGGTGCTGATTTGAGAGGCAGAGCGGGACTTTTTCCGAGACATTATCAAAGTCCTTGCTAAACGAAGATCGAGGTGAGATAGAGGCTTGAGGAGCAGGGATGCAAGGATGCAAGGCGAAGAAAGATGGAAGGTAATAGAATCCAGAGGGAGATTGTGGAATCCGAAGTTCCGTCAGAGCTGATGAGAGAATCAGGAAACATGGAACGGGAAAGCAGTATTTATAGCCATCGCGACTAGGCGATAGCCAGTGTCGGGCTGAGGAGGCTCAGAGAAGGCCATCTTCGGCGCGCGCATGAAACGGAGCGCAGGTAGCGGCGATGGTTGACGGTTCAAGGGACTTCAGCGACGAGAGAGGATGGAAGCCGAAGCGCCCTTTGGAAAAGCTTCCTCAGGCAGAAACAGATGCGCTCGATGGGTGCGTGCACAGAGAGTGCGGGAGCGTGGCATAAGGTAGTTGCTGGAAGGGTGCCATTTTCGGCGTCAGTTGCTGCCATTTCGGGCAGCAAAAAAGCAAGTCGCAATTCTTTAATAGTAGAAATCTACTATAAAATTTAATAAGTATAAACTCTGGTTTTGTAAATATTATATATTAAAAGTACTACAGATTACAGCAGAAAAAATTATACTAAAAAATCTTATAAAAATAAATTTTTACTTAATAATAGTATAAAAGATTTATAAAATAACTACTAATTAAAAAATACTAATATAATATTATAAATATAAAATAGTATTTATAAAAAAAAAGCTGTAAGCTTACCTGTATAAAAACTAAAAGTAGATTTAAAAATTAATTTTTATAAAAAATTTTAGCTAAAGCTGAAGCAAGTATATAAAATATTATTTATAAAAAAAAAATTTTATAAAACTATTTATAAAAAATACTTATAAAAAAATAGATCTGGTATTTTAAGTTGCCAGTAGATATACCAGTTTTATTTATAAATAAAAAAAATAAAAGTCTATAAATATATATAAACTACTATAAATTAAATAAATAAATAGTAAAAAATATTTATCTACTACTATAAATTAATAAATATATTAATTAATTTATAAAAACTTTTTAGTTTATACAGCTAAACCTATATAAAGTCTATTATAAAATTAGAATTATAAAAAAGTATAAATAAAAAATAATATTTTAAATAAAATATAAACTATTTAAATATTTAGTTATACTATTTAAATTAACTAATATATCTATAGAATTTTAAAGTTTTATAAATTTTTTATTTATAGAATATCTAGATAACTTTGTAATTATTTATTTAAATAATATTATAGTATACTTATAAAATCTAAAAATATATAAAGTACAGATCTGTAAAATACTAAAAATATTATAAAATATAAAATTATATATAAAATTAAGTAAGTACTACTTTATAGTAATAGAAATTAATTTTTTAAAATTTTTAATTAGCTGTAAAAGTATTTATATAGAACTGGAATATATTACAACTATTTATAATTAATCTAAACTATAAAATATAAAAAATATACTAAAGTTTATAGGCTTTGTAAATTAGTATAAATATTTTATTAAAAAATACTTATAAATTATAGTACTGATTACAGACCTTACTAAAATACCTTATAAAAAAAAAAAACTAAATATAGTTTTTTAATACTAAAAGTTTATAAAAGCTTTTAGAAGCTAAAAAATATATTTATAAAAAATATAGTTATAGTATATTTTTAAAAAAAAAAATTTTATAAATTAAAACAGATATCTTAGCCTTTATAATTAGTAAAATACTATTATAAAAAGATTAAAAAGGCTAATAAAAACTAGTAGTATTCTATTTATAAAAAATAATTTTTATAAAGCAGAACTACAGTATTTATAATTAAAAGCTTTTTATAATTATAAAATTATTTAAAAAGTAGTAATACTAGTTTAAAAATATAAAATACCCAATAAAAATAGTTATAAACTATAAAAACCTTAAATACTTTATAACTAATAAAAAATTATTATAAAAATAGATTAAATAAATATAATATTTTATAGTATTTAAATTTTTTTTAATATATAAATTAGATTTATAAAATCCAGCAGACGCCCTATTACAATAATTTAACTATAAAAAAAAAACTATAAAAAAAAACTGTAAAAAACTTAGAAAAATAGTACTGTAGTAGTTAAATAATTTTTTAAATTTAAAAAAAAATACAGCTATTTTTATAAGGGCTAAAGTACTGTTAGTAAAAAATACTACAGCAGATCTAAACTAGCTAAAATTTTATATAAAAATAATAAAAATAACTGTAGATAAAAATATATACTATAAAAATCTATTTACTAATTTTATATAAAAGCTACCCCAGCTGCTGTAAAAAAATAATCTTATAAAAAAAATATTTTAAATAAAATAAAAAAAAAACTGTAGAGGCAGTTTATCTTGTAGTAGAAAATATTTATAAAAAAAAAATACCTATAATAAAATATTAGTTAAAAATTACTTTACTTTATAAAAAAATTATATATTCCAGATAACTACCAGCTAAGACTAAAAATTTTTATAAAACTATATAATAATCCTATTATAAAATATTTTATAAAAGTAAAAATCTAAAAATTGGTTTTATAAAGATTTTAGTAGCTGGAATTAGCTAAATTTATATAAAACTACTACTATATATATAAAATATATTAAAATAAATAAATAATCTATAAAAAATAGTAAAAACTATTAAAACTACTATTATTTACTATAAAATTTTAAAAAAAAATAATTATAGACTTTATTACAGATCTATCTATAAATATCTATAAAAATAAAAATTTATAAAAAATTTATAATATTATTATAATTATAGTAGACTAGTTTAGTAAAATAGCTTACTTTATTTTAATTTATAAAATACTATTAAAAAAAAACTTATAATAACTTTTTTTAAAAAAATCTTCCAGCTGTATAGAATATTTAGAAAAGTAATTATAGATTATAAACTAGTTTTTATAAAGGGTTTTTAGTTAAATTTTATTTATATTTTTATTATTAAATAAGGTTTAAATACAGTCTACTACCTGTAAACAGATAATTAAATAAAAAAAATAAATAATATATTAAAATAGTATTTATAAAACTATATTAATTTTAAATAAAATAATTAGATAAAGATGCTACTACTTATAAAATTTACCTATAATAATTTTTTATAAGTATTAATTAAGTATTTTTTATTTTTTATAATAATTATATAATATCTGCAGATAATAGTACTTAACTTGTAAATACTAAATAATCCTATAAAAAAACTAAAATAATATTTTTAAAAAATTAGAAAAGTAAAAAAAAATAACTGTAAATTTTAAATAGATTTATAAATATTAAAAGAACTTTTATAATAAAAGTTGCAAGGCTACTGCCTTTATAATAGGCTAGAAAATTTAGCTCTTTATAAAAAATTTACTATAAAAAAAACTAAATAAAAAACTAGACTAGTACTATTATAGATTATTTTATATAATTAAAAAAGTAAATAAATAGATTTATAAACTAAAATTATCTACAGATCTTTAGATTTATAATATTTTTTATATATTTTTACTTTATAAATACTATATAATAGAAGAGGTAGACTTATAAGAGTATTTTTTATAAAAAAATAAAAGTTTAGACAACTGTAAATATTATTTAAAAGTATTACTAAATTTATAATACTGTAAAAAAATAACAGAAATCCTAATTAAATAAAAAAATATTATAATAAAAAAAATACTTAGAAATCTGCTATAAATCTATATTATTTACAGATTTAAAAAAAATTTACTTTATAGAAGTATAAAAAACTTAATTAAATAATTAAAAAAAAACTAGACTAAATATAGATTATAAATTATTTATAACTATATATTTTATATAACTAATATAAGCTATAGTACTTACTTATAGTAACTAAAAGCTGAAATATATAAAAATATACTACTATTTTATAAAAAAATAGTATTTATTATTTATATATAAATAGTTATTATACTTTTAGCTAATTTTTCTACTAATATAATTATAAAAAACTTTTTTAAAAAAAAAATTATAATAATATTTATATATTTAGTTAAACAGTAGCTGCTGGTTAGCTTAAGTTATAAAAATATTTTTATAAAACTATATTTAAATAATTAGCTGTTTAAAATTTAACTATTTAATATATAGTATAGACTATATAATAAATTTACAGATCTAGGTCTACTTATAATCTAATAAAAGCTGTAAATCTATTTAAAAAAAAAGCTGGGTACTACAGTAAATATTATTTTTAAATAATCTAAAAATTAAACTATAAAAAATAACTTAATAAAAAATAAAGTATTTTATTTTTTATTATTAGTTTATTTATAGGGAGCCGGCTAATCCTAGTCAACCCTAAATATATTTATAAAAAGTAGAAAAAATTTAGAAAGTATAAAAATAAAAGCTATAAAAATTATTATAATATTTATTATTATAAACTAAAAAACCTTATTTTTTTATATATAAATAGTAGTATATAAAAAAAGAAAAATAATAGTAGCAGTACTAGCAGAATTTATAATAAAGCTAAAAATTAAAATAAAAGCTAAAATAATAGTAGTAATAAATATAATAAAAATAAATATATTTATAGTAGTAGCAGCAGCAGATCTAATAGCAGTAGTAGTAATAAAAATATTTTTTTTTAATAAAAAAAAATAGTAAAATATACTATAAATAGTTAGCTAAGTCTAAATCTATTTTATAAATAATTTATATAAAAAAAATAGAATAGAATAGGCTAACAGGGCCTATAAATATAAAGCTTAAACAGTATACTATAAAAAAAAATTAGTTAACTTTTATAAAAAAAAAAAATAGGGCTAAGCTTTTATAAAAAAAACTAATAAAATATTTTAAATACTACTGTAGAAAAAAAAATTAGCTAAATATTAACTTATAAAAATATTTAAAAAAAAATACTATATAAAAAAATTTACTAAAAAAAAAAAAAAAAAGAGTTGCAGAGGAAAAAAAAACTAAAAGTCTAAAAAAAAAAATTTTTTTATATAAAAAAAAATTTTATTTTTATAAAATTAGCTCTGCTAGTTTTAACTGTAAAGTATTTTAAACAGCTAAAATAAATAAATTAAAAAAAATTTAATACTATTTATTAAAAAAAAGTTTTTTTAATTGTAGAAAAGATTATTTATAGGCTATTATAAAAAAATTAGCTAATAAATAATAGATTATATACTAGTAAAAGGATTTTATAAAAATAGTAGTAGAAGTAGTATAGTATATTTTTATAAAAATATAAAATAATAAATTATTTTTTCTACTATTTTAATTTTTTATAAAAATATTTATAAAGT